TATATTCAGTATATACAAAGTATATGTGTGTGTGTGTGTGTGTGTGTGTGTGTGTGTGTGTGTGCGTGCATGCGTGTGTGTGTGTTTGCCATCATGGATTTTGATGTAAATGGATGGTGGCTTAGTTGGAAGAGTTGTTGCCTCTTAACGAGAAGGTCCCTGGTTCTAATCCCCGGTATGGGGCCTTTAAGGGTGGAGTTTGCATGTGCTCTCCGTGCTGCGTGGGTTTTCTCCAGGTGCTCCAGTTTCCTCCCACAGACCAAAAACATGCATGTTAGACTAATGGTAACTCTAAATTATCCCTAGGTTTGAGTGAGAGAGTGAATGGTTCTTTGCCTCGTTTGTCTCTATGTGTCCCTGTGATGGACTGGAGACATGTCCAGGGTGTCCCCCCCACCTCTCTCACAGGGACTGCTGGATATGGGCACCAGTGAGTCACGTGACTCGAAAAGGAAGACGCATGTGAAGATAATGGATGGATGGACTATACTTATTTAGTGCCTTTCTATCTAATTAAGATACTCAAAGCACTTTACAGCACAATCTGTCCCTAATTTACCCATCTACACACATTCAGACAGCACTCTACTAGATCTCTACAAAACTAATTGAACATTTCTCTCTAAAGAGATTTTCCAGTGCTTTTAGATCACATTCATACACCAATCGGATACTCATCAGAGGCAATGAAGGATTCAGTGTCTTGCCCAAGGACACAAGCATGTGACTGCTGGTGGAATTGAACTCTCAACTCTCCCATTGGAGGACAACTGCTCTATCCACTCAGCAACAGCTGCCCCCAACCTTGCTTGTTGCAACCTAATTTTCAGTATTGACCTTTCTTACGGCTAGATGCAGAAACATCAAAATGGAAGTTTGTATCTAACTCAAATACTGACTTATTTTTACAAAAACAAGTATTTTTGTAAAAATACTAAAGTATTTTTTGGAAGATCACAAGAATTATGGATGTTTATGGTGGTACAATTAGGTTGAAAACAAGTCTTAAAACCATAGAGGCTTCCTTTTGGCGTTAACTTCTAAGAGGGAGCAGGACAGAAATAGACTTTTTCAACTGCCTCCATTGTTGAGCAGTGAGATGGTTGAGATGCTACTGTAGCAGTTTTACATCTTCAGTGTTCTGGTGTGTTTTTTAGATGTGTTACCAAACTACTTGTGCTGAAAGGGCAAGATCCGCCTTAGAATCTAGCTGTTTTTTGTTACTTTTCTTTTTTCGCCATACTATTTGTTAAAAAAAAATGGTATGACTTTTTATAACTGTTTATTGTGTCGCTGTTGTCCATTGTTGTCATCATTCTTTGTTGAAATCAGGTCTCTCTTGTAAATGAGTCCTCGAGGCTCAATGGAATTTACCTGTCTAAATAAAGGTTGAATGAATTGAATGAAAAGATGTAGATTTCACATTTGCCACCATTTCTCAATTTAAAAACCTCCACATGGCAGACATTGCACTTTCTCAAAGGTCCCACTGCTCAACTGAGAGGTGAACATTATGCTGCTTTAAAGTGGTATTTGTACTGTAATATCTGAACAGCCAAGTACAAGTACAGATATACAAACACGTCATCAGAACCTGTTAATAATACCAGTGTCAGTGCATCCATGTCTTTCCTCTTTAACATTGAGGTAATAGTTGCCTGTCAGCACTTCTGATTTTATGGATATGCTTATAGTCTCTGATGATAACTATATCAAGTACATTGTTTTAGGAGGACCCAGATTCTAGTCACTATCTGAAATCCTAAGGAAGCAACAAGGGTGTCCTGAAGATTTCACAAACAGCATCTTCATCACACTTACTGTTTGATAAATAATATAGTCACAGCTCTTTGCCTGCGTTTTTCAATTACACCGTAGTTATATACAGTATAAAATCATCCAAATGAACATATATTGTCCATACCTTTTACCTTTTCATTTTCATCCAGATGTAACTCAGCTGTCAGATTAGACAGGCAGAAAGCTGTACAGTCTGATTGTAAAGAGGGTAGTGAACAAATACAAGAGCCAGTCATCACTTGCAGACCACGCTGACTACAGAGTAAACTCGCCGTGCCTTTTTGGCTGACATCACACTAATTGCAGTTTACTCAAGACAGAGCGAGTCAGAGACAGGCAGGGTAGAGTGCAGACGGTAAACTCGTAGCAGTAAAGCAGAGCATCTGGAATTTTCACATCTGGACATTCTCAGGAAATATGACTCTTCAGCCAACAAGGTATAATGTTTTATATTTGAATTATTTCCTTTTGTTCTTTGAAGAGTTAGAAATCGTAGTAACACATTGTTTTACAGTTTGTCAGAAATTATTGTTTGTTCAAAATTAGTTGACTTGTAAAAGTAATTCTAATTTAAATTATTTATTGTAAGATACAATATGTTTTATTATAATCATATGTAGTTATTGAAATTCATATAGATGGAAAACTAGATCCTTTTGCTCCTCATAGAGATGTGTCTTTGATGTTTTAACTTAATCTCAGTAAACTTTCACACATTTTAAATCACATCCTTTTTCCCTTTTCTGACTATTTCAGTTTCTGACTGTGACAGCTTCTTTTAAAAATGCCAAACTTGTATTCACTAGAAAGCACAAATTGCAACAGGAACTTCTGCAATCTTGCATAAAATCATGAAACTAAAGCATTCTTTACTCAGCAGCAGAAACAGTACATTTATTGTTTTTGAACTGCCTTTCATGTAATTAAATGGGTAAATCTTAGCAATGCTTTGATGGTAAATAGAACAGAGTACTGAATCTGATGGTTAATGTCTGATATTGTTCAGACACACAAACAGATGCACACATACACAAGAGGATAATTTAGCAGATAGAGTTGCTCATTACTGTAATATGGCAATTACTATTCTGCAGGAAACAGGTAAAATAATTACATGTGCTGTCTGACTGGTGATTACAATTTATGGCTGCAGAGGAGGAAGCAGTTGTTTCGATTACTGCGATACACACAGAAGATTAAGACAATATCAAAGTCAAAGTCACAGTTTCTTTATTTGTTATACACACCACACGTGGGACATGTGGTGGAATGAAATTGTGTAAACAGGGTCCCAGTTACATCCAACAAAAATATAAAATGTAAAAGAAAAACAGTAATAAAATCGAAGATATGAACTAAGAAAAATGTTAAACTAAAAATACGCTAAGCACTTGTAGTACAAAAACAATACGTTGAACAGCAGCACGAACAGTCTGTGTGAGCAGATGAGTATGAATGAAGACAGCAGTGGGAAATAAAATATCCTGGCGTATGCTCAATAATCCAAATAGAAAAATCTAACAGGTCCTCTGGACGGATTAAAAAAAAAAATGTTGAAATGCTTCATCTTTTATCCAAAAGACTTCTTCAGTCTGAGGAGCTGCAATAAACTCAGTCTTATAAATAGCACCTTCTCATGGTGGATCAACCAGATTGTTGTTGACATCCAGAACTAACTGTTCACTTGATAAAGGAGGACCATCAGCCTAACAATTGGCCGTTAGTGATCTGATGGCCGCTTGCTATTCACAGAGTGCTGAGTGATACTAGCAATCACAGCACTGTAATAGGGGGACAGTTGAACCCGGAGGCCTCCACCCCTGTTTAATGATGGACGATTTCTTTTCACAAAATGGCTTCCGTCACTTCTCTCAAACATCGTTCCTCTCAATCAAGGATGTGAACATCTTCATTCCTGAAAGAGTGACCGCTGGCCTGGAGATGAGTGTAGACCACAGAGTCCTGGACTGATAGAGAGGAACGCTGGCTTGAGAGAGAATTGAAGGAGGCCATCTTTGTGAAGAAAAACTTGTCCATCTTTAAACGGGATGGAGGCCTCCATGTCCAATTTTCCAATTTTGGTCCTCCTTGATCATGTGAACAGCTGGTTCTGGGTGTCAACAACAAACTGGTAGATCCAGTATGAGAAGGTGCTATTTTTAAGACTGAGTTTGTTGCAGCTCCTCAGACTGAAGAAGTCTTTTGGATAAAAGATGAAACCGTTATTATTATTATTATTATTATTATTATTATTTTAAATCCGTTCAGACGACCTGATTTAACTTTATTAAACTATTAGGAACTTTTGAAACTCTTGTTTCTTTATATCTCTTCTGGTAGTGCCTTGATAAACTCTGCTGATCTAAATGTTCGGTCATGTTTTATGGTAGCTTAAAACAGGAGTAAACATGGACAAACTGTGGAAATGTTCCAGTTGAACAAGTCATGGGATGAACCAATATTAAACATTTCCACAACAGGCAGAGATGAGAGAGAAAGAAAAAAAAAAACCTCCCAAAATAAATCATGTGGGTAGACAATTTATTTGGAAATGTTTATAACGTGTCTGGAAGAAGTTGAATATTTACTACAATTGTGTTTTTAGTATGGATTTTCTTATGGACATTTTTAATAAACTAAATAAAAAAAAACAAAAAAACATTATTTTTAATGTTTTAAGATTGTTCACTTGTTTCTTTTTTTTTTTTTGTCTAATAAATTTTCCTTCTTCACAGCATCCCTGGCTTCAACACCACTGCACTAGATAAAGAACACAATGACACCAGCAAGTTTTACTGTCCAGAAACAGAGGCCTGGGAATCGTTCTACACCAGTCAGCCTGTGTATATCCTGATCATCAGTGTGCTGGGAATTATATTGAACCTCTTTGTCCTGATAGTTTTCTGCCTCCATAAGAAGCCCTGTACAGTAGCTGAGATCTATCTGAGCAATCTGGCTGCAGCTGATCTTATCCTGGTGTCCTGTTTGCCTTTCTGGGCAGTCAACATCTCCAATAACTTTGACTGGCCGTTTGGACTATTCATGTGCAAAATTGTCAACGTGGGCATTAAATTAAACGTCTACTCCAGCATCTATTTCCTTGTTTTAGTTGGCATAGATCGATACCTAGCACTGGTGCATGCTTTATCGCATGGAAGAATGCGCAGACCAAAGTATGCCAAACTAGGCTGTCTGCTGACGTGGGGGGTTGGCTTGCTGCTGAGCATACCCACGTTCATATTTAGAGAAGTGAAACATTTCTCTGAGTATGGTGTTCATGCATGCATTCTGGAATATCCAAGCAAAACTGCTGAGCTGATTTTTGATGGGATGTTGCTGGTTTTTAACTTCATCATTCCTTTTTCAATCATCTCTTTTTGTACAGTGAAGATCATTCAAGCTTTAAAAAGCCAAGGATTAGAGAGGTTCAATGCTGAGAAAACGGAGCAGAAGGCCACAGTCTTGATACTGGCGGTCCTCCTGGCCTTCCTCATATGTTGGGTGCCATTCCACCTCGTCACCATTTTGGATATGCTGTTACGAGCTGAGGTCCTCATAGGGTGTCACCTCTCATCTGCATTAGATATCTGCAACCAGCTCTTCACCTACTTGGGATTTTTCAACAGCGTGCTCAACCCAATCCTGTATGTTATTGTTGGAAAGAACTTCAGAAGAAAAGTCCAAGAATTCATGAAGCAGTGGAATATTAAGAGAACGATGACCTCTGAGTCCACACGCTCAAACTTGTCTTCTACTCTCAAAACATTGGTGTAAAGCATCGGGCAGAGTTGAACATTTCGTTCTAAAATGAATTGTAAATATTTGTACTGTAATTATGTAGCCCTAAAAATATCAAAAAAGCAATTAAAATATTATCTAAATAACCTAACAAAGTTAAGTCAGGTCCTCTGGACAGATAAAACAAACAAACTCAGTCTTATAAACAGCACCTTCTCAAAGTGGATCAACCAGTTTGATGATGACATCCAAAACCAGTTGATCACATGATAAAGATTCAGCCTAGCAACCGATCGTTAGTGCCCTGATGGTCAATCGCTGGTCAAAGAGAGCTGAGTGATACTAGCAATAACAACATTGTAAGTATTGTAAGATATTGCTAGAATCACTCAGCCCTCTGTGAATAGCAAGCGGCCAGCAGGGCACTAACAATCGGTCTTCAGGCTGATGGTCCTCCTTGATCATGTGAACAACTAGTTTTGGACTGTCACCATCACACTATGGCACACGTGTCAAACTCAAGGCCCAGGGCCCAACTGTGACCCTCGTTGACATCTTATCTGGTGCTCAAGATGTTTTTTTTAATGTAAAATACTTCTCTTTAATTTATTTCAGTAATCTTTGATTATGATGTCAAAAGCACAACAGAGAACATCAAATGAGACCAATCAAATTCTTGTTGAGGAACCTGTGACCAAGAAAAGATGTTGGGTATCTGATTTGAGTTAATGTAGATTCTGAAATTGGCCCTTAGTTTGAAAAATATTTTAATGTTGGCCCCCTTTTGTGAGTGAGTTTGACACCCCTGCACTATGAGAAAGTGTCATTTATAAGATGAGTTTGTTGTAGCTCCTCAGACTGAAGAAGACTTTTGGATAAAAGACAAAACTTTTCAACAATTTATTTTTCCCCGTCCAGAGGACCTGACTTAACTTTGTTAGATTTTTCTACCTGGATTATTGAGCATTGTTGAGCATGCAACAGGACAATATCTTAAAAAAAAAAAAACATTTCTCACTATTTAATTAAGTTTTATTTTGTGGTTCTGTAAATTATGTACGGTTTATGTTATGTCCAAGTGAAGTTACTTTATTTATTTTAACATATTGCAAAATATAATTTTTCTTTCATTAAATGGAAATGTTAATCAGTGCTTGTGATAAAATGACTGAGTCAAGCTTTGGGAAACATCAGCGTTGTAAATGTGTTCATGTGACGTAATCATATATAGTTGTTAAATTATATCTGTAAATGAACCTTTCTTGAAAGAGTTTTGATTTATATACATGTAAATAAATGTTTGTTCATGACAAGCAAATAAAACGGCATGGCTTGTAAAATGTTTTGCATCTTTGTAAAACATTTAAATCTCAGACTAATAAAAAAACCCGATCCTTTACAAGTCAAAACAACTGCTCAGAAAGACTGGTGCTTTTGACTCAGAGTTAAAGCAGAACTCTGTCAAAGATTTTCCAGTTGAGGCAAACAATCATTTTCCTTTTTGTGGTCTGCGAAGAACATCAGCCAACCTGTTTTGTATTTCTTTCCAGAAAGCCGTCTAATGGCTCAGTGTTGACTCATTGTGGGATTGTGGCTGTGGGTACACCCTAAGGTGTCCGCAAAATGGAGGCGAGCTGTGGCCAACAGAAAACTGAGATTTTACCACATATATGCCAGGGCTGAAATTATTGTGGAACAATAAACATGTAGGCAGACACACACAAAAAACACCCTCAAATAGTAAAATCAAGAATAAGCTTCAACTTTATTCCATGTATTTCTGTCTGAGTGTCATATCTTGACTGTCTTTTTTTTACTTCTCCAACATGTAAAATCTGTTGTGTATAATTCCAAAGCTGGTGCTTCAGGGTCATGTTCAGTGTTGTATATTATAAAGACTATTTCTACATTCTGTTTGACATGTGTACCTTTCAACTTAAATGTGTGCACTGGCTGTCAGCACTCAAATCATACATTTTTCTTTAAACAATCAGCTGCAGACTAACTCTGTAAAACATGTTCAGTGCTTGATCCAAGTCAGAGGTGAAACTATCCAGGCTCCTTTTCTTCCTGTATTGCAGGAATGCAGGAAACTACAGATGACTCGCCCGGAGCTGATACAACATGAAGAAGAAGAAGGAAAAAACTGTTTTTCTCTTTGTATTGTAAACATGTCATGACGACGTAAATCAGTGATTACATTAGCTGCCTAAATAGCTTCAGCCTCCAAGATGAACAGAAACTAAATATTTATTTATGAATTGTTGGTTTCTGTGATACTTTAACCCTTTATGACCTTGGTTAGGTTTACTAGCTGGAAAACATTGATGACATGTAGGTGTTTTGGACAGTTGTTCTCAGCTGAGTTGCCATGATAGAAAATATCAGCAAAAAGAACATTTAAAAATTAAACCCACAAAAGATTTGACTGAATAACAGTTTTCTTGGAGACAGGATCATATTGTACTAGAAGATTTGTCAATATGTTGCGGTCCTTTTTTCCCAACATGTACTTTTTTAATCTAATCTTTTTGTCTGAGTTGATTTAGGACAGTTAAGACACTTTTAAGAGGGTAAGTGAATGCCCCCTTAAAGTGGGGGCATTCACCCCCCACTTTAGTGATTTATGCAGTCACGTTACTTAAAGTACTTATATTATGTTCTAAAAATTAGATTTCACCTTGTCATTAAACAGTTTTTTTGTGTGTCAAAAAGGTCAATTTTTATTGATCATGACTCATTTTAATAGCAATAAAATGGTAAAACATCCAAGGGATGAATACTTTTCAATTGGCACTGTATCTTTTCGGTTCTTCTGTCACACACAAATACACATAATACATACATATATATATATATATATATATATATATATACTAATATACTAATACAAACCAGATTCCCAAAAAGTTGGGACACTAAACAAATTGTGAATAAAAACTGA